TCCGCTTTTCCTCAGGACAAGGGGAAATAACCCCAGCCAAATTTTTACACCAAAATTCATCAGATATGAAAGATTCACTGAAATTCATTGAAATTTATCAAAATTGACTAATTCATCTAATTTTGACTAAAATTAATCAAATTTCGACTGAAATTCGTCGAATTTCGTCTGAAATTCATCGAATTTTGACTGAAGTTCATCAAATTTCGACTGAAATTCATCGAATTGCGAGATTTGTACACCTAAATTCACAGTGATTTCCCCTTGCCTCAGGACGTGGGCCAGAGCCGCTGAGGGCCGCCAGGACTCCGCCGCACTCCGTGCGCACGCGACCAGCTTGGGCCGCATCCGAGGCGTGCTGCAGCAGGCGCTCCAGGACTTCGTGGAGGAGCGCGCCGCTGCCAGGCAGAGGAAACCACGAGCTCGGACGAGGTAAGGAGAGGGCAGCGACGAGCACGAGACGCGTGCTCCATCCTGACATGCCAGCAGGAATATTGTTGAGGATTTTGTAACTATGTTCCAGATCGGGACTTCGCTGGAGTCTGGCCCTCCTATGGACCCGAGGCCCCTTCCACAGTCTAGCACTCCGCTGGAGTCTAGAAATCCCCGGGCTTCTGGCACTTCTATGGAGTCTGGTACTCCAGTGGAATCTGGCACTCCTGTGGAGTCTGGCACTGCTGTGGAGTCTGGCCTGCTGTGGAGTCTGGCACTCCTGTGGAGTCTGGCACTAAGTGGTACCTGCGGAGAGGTGGTATGGAGTAAAGCCAGATATATCAAATCTGAAGGTGTTCGGTTGTGTTGGATTCACTTTAACACCCAAGGACAAATTAAAAGGGAAATTTGATTCAAGGAGTGAAAGAGTTGTGATGTTAGGCTATTGTGTCAATGGGTACAGGTTGTGGCTGGTAGATAAAAGTAGAATTATTTTGGCAAGAAATGTAAAATTCTTCGAACATTTGACTAGATTTCCAGATGAAGGTGTCCCAGATGTTGATGATGGTGATTTCAGAGTAGAGAATGAAGAGATTGACTTAAATCAAGACACAGGAGAAAATTTAGAGGAAGATCAAGTTCCACAATTACCCCCACCTGACTATGTTGATGGTAATGGAGGTCATAATGAAATTGAACCCCCTGCTATAAATATCTTTGAAGTTGAACAGGATCAGCAACAGGAGGAGGTTCCACCCGTGAGGAGGAGTTGCCGAATCAGGGTGAGACCAAGGCACCTAGAAGACTTTGCCATGTTGGCACAAATAGCAAGGTTTGCTGATGAGGTGACTGAAGAGGAACTCTGTACTGGTATGTTACCAGTAAATGACATAAAAAATTCAGATATTGACAAGAAGGTTTCTTGGTACAGGGTTAGTGAACATACTAATGATAGCAATATCTTCCCTGATTGTGATACCTCAATGGTCCTGAGCGCAGTAAGTTACTGCAATTCTGTCCCTCAAAGTTATGAGGAAATATTAAGCAGAGATGACAGAGAACAATGGCTAACAGCTGTGAGTGAAGAACTCAAAGCTTTAACGGACTGCAATACATGGAATCTAGTAGCTCTTCCACCAGGAAAGTTTCCAATAAAGTGCAGGTGGGTGTTTGCAATTAAGCATGATGAGAATGGAGAAATCATAAGATACAAGGCCAGGTTGGTCATAAAGGGATGTTCCCAGAGAAAAGGTGAAGACTACAATGAGAACTCAATCTATGCTCCGGTTGCAAGAATGGCAACGCTCAGAATCCTACTGGCTACCATCAATAAGAAAAATCTGTATACAAATCAGTTGGATGTCAAGAATGCCTTCCTGAATGGGAATCTTAAGGAGGAGATATACATGGCTCCCCCAGAAGGACTGAGAATCAAAGGAAAACTGGTGTGTAAACTCAATCGTACCCTCTATGGCTTGAAACAGGCACCAGCCGAGTGGAATCATAGATTTGATGAATTTGTTCGGAAATTAGGTTTCTCCAGATGTGAAGCTGACAGGTGTTTGTACTTTATAAGACAAGGACGTAATGTGTGTTACCTTCTCTTGTATGTAGATGATGTAATTCTAGCTGCAGATTCTGAAGAGTGTATAACTTCAGTCAGGAGAAAACTGATGTCAGAATTTCAAATGAGGGATCTAGGAGAGTTAAAATATTTCCTAGGGATCAGAATCTCTCGGTCTGAGGGAAAACTGTACATGAGTCAAGAAAATTATCTCAAAACAGTACTGAGACGATTCGTTGGTAAAAACAAGTTAGCATCAGTAAAGATTCCTCTACCATTGAAAGGAAATCATGCTGGGAAAGATAATCCAATGCCTGATGATTTACAGCCCGTCCTAGGAGTGAAGCCTTACAGGGAGTTGATAGGAAGTTTGATGTACGCCTGCATGGCTACCCGCCCAGACTTGTGTGTAGCTGTTAATTATTTTAGCCAGTTTCAAGCGAGCCCACTGATGTTGCATTGGAGGGGATTGAAGAGGATACTGAGATATATTCAAGGTACGCTGAATCATGAATTATGTTTTACAAGCCACTCTAATGTCCCATTGGTGGCCTATGCAGACGCTGATTTTGCCAATGAGTTTGATCGAAAATCATTATCTGGATCAATTGTAGAACTATTCGGTGACTTAATTATTTGGAACACTAAGAAGCAGAATACTGTTGCACTGTCATCAGCAGAAGCAGAATATGTGGCACTTGCTACAACAACTGCAGAGGTCTTGTGGGCAAAACAGTTAGTCATAGAAATGGGCATTGAAATTAAAGGACCAATAACGTTGTTTGAGGATAATCAAGCTACCATAAATTGCCTTGATAGTTGGACTGCTAAAAGAATGAAGCATATAGATATAAAATACAATTTTGTCAAAGACCTACAACAGTCTGGAGTAGTTTCAGTAAAATATATCCAAACCTCTGATCAAAAGGCAGATGTGATGACCAAGCCATTAGCGTTCGAGGTGTATCAAAGGCATTTGATTGGGCTGGGTATGGTAATGAAAGATAATAACTCATAATGTGACAAATGTTTGTACATGTAATGTGAACTGATGTAAATAAATCTAAGTTACAAATAAATGTAAAATTGAGGCGGGGTATTGTAAGATGCAATTTTCCATACTGAACTAGGAGCTGTTATGTGTAGTATGAGAGGGCAGTGACAATCTCCTGTCTTGTTTCCGGTTCCTTGGTGCTGTCGGACTACTCACTGTCTCTGTGCTGTGTACTGTAGAAGGTTGTCCTGTGTGTCCAAGTGTGAGAATATATATCTGTTGCAATCTAACTGAGTGCGTGTGTTTCACTGGATCAAACCCCATAACCAATTATCACAATATTTTGCATTCTAATTACCCTAATACTGTATCTGCTGGTCCTAACCTTCCTGTGTTTTGTGTTCATGGATGAATTTAAAGAATTGGAAGTTGGCAAAAATAGTTTGGGCGAAACTTAAGGGTTCTGACTGGTGGCCAGGTAATGCAAACTAACAATTTAACCTAGTCAATAAGCACACTTCAAACCCTTCGAATGGAAATTGAGCTGTCAAGGCATATTGCTGGTTGCCACACTGCTGCCTGGCTGCGAATATTAGAACTTGCCACTGTGTTAGTTAACTAAAGGATCGTGTTGTGTCATTGTAGGCATGATTTAACATTTCGGAACAAGGCTGTCTCAAGTTAAGGAAAAATCAACAGATCAACACATTAACAGATCAACGGCGGGTCGGGGAGTAAACACTAATGAATCAAATGTCTTGGGATGACCTAAGTACTCAATTTCTTCAACATATTTCTTTGTTTTAGACCTATTGTGCCATCCCCAACCCGTCCCGATCCGTTGATGTGTTGATCTGTTGATTTTCCTTAACTTAATACGACCCAACTATCTAACCCCTTCTCCCTAGTAAGGCCAATTTCAACCCAAAGGTGTTTTTAATTTTTTTACGAAACATCACAGTTCTAGGTGAACACGATCTTTGCGTATACCAATAGGGTACTTTCGTAGATCCCTGAACCGGAAGCACACAGACGCCATGTTGGCGGAAGCAGATCCAAACTTGACATGGGAAAGAGACGTTAGTCAAACGTATCGGCCACACTTGAACATAAACAGTAGTTTGATACTTGTTTGCAGTGCATGTGTGTTTCGCGAGCAATATTTTTACAGCTCGGCCATAGTTTTAGATCCGAAGAGAGGTTAGTTTCCGGCCAATTTGGCGTCTGCTGGTCTGCTTGCTTCCGGTTCAGGATCTACGAAAGTACCCTATTTGTACGCGGTTTCGTACAAAAAATGGGGAAATATGTGCAGTTTTTCGTACAAAAAATGTACGAAACGTTCGTGTGCCCAAAAAACTGTGATGTCTCGATCAAAATTGTACATACCATTTAGTGTGTTCAAGAAATGGCGCGGTTAGCGACATGAAAATTAATGCAATTTTCCTCAACGTTCTTATGTCGTAAACAGAGGAAACGATGCAGACCGTTCGTGGGCAAGCCGCACGCAAAACAGGAAAATTCGGATCTGGTCAGGACCGGAAACCAGGGGCCACCGTACCGGAAACGCGAGTTTTGAGTGGCGTATCGAGGCGTAACGTTTCAAAGGATGAAAAGACATACACTTTTGGCCGAATAACTTCTTAAAAAAGAACCATACCACTTTTACCCTGCGGTTTATGTCTTTTGACGAGCAATTTAACATGCGCTTCAGGTCCAGACCTCAAGCACCATATTTCTTTACCTCACTCTAGGAAGAATGGGGCTGAGCTACCGCTCCATTAATTGCGTGGCGTACTTGTGGACACTTTGTGACCCCCCCCCTTTTTCACCATGTAACGCGGGTAACGCTTAGCCAGACCCCACCCGAGTCTCACGGCGGAACGGTACGCAAAATTTGACAGGTAAACACTTTTTTCACACATACATCATGTATGGACTTCCGGAATGTGCCCTCCTAAAATTTTTCGCGAACCGCTAAGCTGAATTGGATCCCCCGTCTCTCATATACCACAGCGTTCCGCTAAACTCATTTTCCCAGTCCTACTTGAACCGGAGCGCCCTAACCATGATCTCATGTGCCTGTCCCAGTTTCCACCGTTTCGACGTTGACTCACATTCATGCTCGATCTCTGCAGTTCGTCGTCACTTGGCAAAATCTCTGAGCAGGCCAGCGGCAATGTTGAGGAGATCCTTCCTGACCATCAAGCTTCGTCGTCGTCGTGCAAACTGAATCCTTCGCTGGCTCAGCGCGATAACCGAACGTCCGAGCTGCAACGCTGGCCGACTGTTGTGTCTGCTGTACTGTTCGCCTTCGCTCCGCTCAACTGTCTCCCCTCTCCTCCTCCTCCTCCTTCCGCCTCCTTCTCTGCCTGCCTGCACTGCCTGGACCACCAGCCGCGCGCTTCAGAGGGAAAGGGGAGGGGGAGGAGTTGGGTAGTATACACGTCGCACATTCCAAGACCGTCTGTGAGGTCCGCGAAGGTCCGTCAGTACACAGTAGTGGGCCAGAAGACCGGTGGGGGCGGTTTAAATCCCGGCCGTGTTTTGAGCCCCAGAGTCGCTAAATGGGACTCGAAAGGAACGTATGACCCACCAATGGATTGCTCCCCGAACGAGGAATCCATTGGTGGGGTCACTCGTTCGGTTCGAGTCCTGCTAAGCGACTCCAGAGCTCAAACCGCGTTTAGAACTTTGGCCGCCTGCGTCGGTCTTCTGGCCCACTGTGCTTGCTGTGACGTGGGGGGCTGCCCCAGGGGTACCGAAGAAACGGCCTCCGACCGGGCGACGGGCGACCGCTGCCGAAATCCCCTCCCTGGTGCAAGGTTTCCCGGAAGTCGCCCCTCTCCGGCCGAACGAGCGTGCCAAACTGCGCTCCCCTGCGCGGGAAAGTCCCCCGGAGCGCCTTGCTGTCTCGCCGGAGGCTTTCGGCCTGGGTACGCGGTTCGGGTACGCTGGTACGCTCGGCCACCGACCGAAGTCTCGAGTTCGAGTCAAGTTGCAAAGCATCATGGTAGCAAGCCGGGCTCTTCTAGCTCCGTTCACGCGTTTTCGATTGTGATTTGTTAAACAAACTGTTGGTACTTACATTGTCGTAGGTGTGGACGAGAAAGGCAATCACTTGTTAGTGTTTGATCCGGAGGAGCCTTTTCAGCGCGCTTTCAGTTCGTTAGAAGCAGCCCTGTTTAAAAGGGTACTTAGTGTAATATGTTACGGATCCTGAGAGTGTTTGAGTGATGGGGATGTTTACGTAACCATTCTGTTAACGTAACCATTCTGTTAACGTTTCTTTCAGCTTCAACTCCAGAGCCTCTCCGTGGCTCCGAGTGTGGCAAGCCTGCTGCGCTGCGTACAACGGCACAACCGCAGTCGCCACGGAGCAGTCGCGGCAGAAAGCAGAAGCAGGCGAGGCTGTTCGTAACTCTCCGGGCAGCAGCAGGCCCCCCGCTCGCCTTCCTCACCTTACCCGAACGGAACTTGGCACTCGACACGGCTTTATTCCATAACATTGGAGTACATGGCGACTTCAACTGCAACTGGATGGGTGAGTGAGTGCGAAAGTTAGCGTAGGCTATCCTAGGGCAAGCTTGCCTGCCCCAGGGAGAACAAAATAGTCCAAATTATGTCACTATGACCTCAAAATGAGCGATCTTTGGTCTAAATTTGGTCCATTTTGATGTGCAAAAGACAGCTGATAACTCAAATAGTGTTTTTATGAATTCTATGTAAAAAGAGTCATCTCAACTTAACTGGGCCTTCATTTTAAAATAAGACGGATTAAAGAGGTAACTCCAAAGATGTATTTGAGAATTATAGACTACACAGAACTTAGCTCCTCTTGAATTGTCCCCAAGTTCTATCTCATTTGCAAGAACTAAGTGCGCGTGGTTCCGTAGTCCATCCTAACGTAAAAATTTAAATCACAGAAACCATCCACTTTTGAAAATTTTCAGTTATTATACCTTGTGCTTTTTTGACACACATCCATTTGCTTGATTTATTTGTTAAGTTTTAGTTGATCCATGAAGCGGAAGGAGGGAATGACTCAATTTTCATCATTTTTCAGGAGAGACAACAGACTGTTTGCAGGGAAAAATGAAAATGAATAAATGAACGATGCTAATGGCCATTTGTCAAAAATGCATAAGTAATTACTATCAAACATTTTTAATGTGTATAGATTAATTCAAAACCAGTTTCTGTAATTTTAATCTGTAAATTGAAATGGACTATGGAATCATGTTATGGAGTCATGTTCACTTTGTTCTTCTAAAGGAAAATAAATTTGGAAGCAATTCAAGTGGAGCTGAGGTGTCCGTTGAGTCTATATTGCTCTGGTTCATTTTTGGAGTCACCTCTTCTATCCACCTTATCTTAAAATGAAGGGCCAGTTAAACAAGTTGAGTTATCTCCTTTCGTCATTTTGTGCAACAGAGTCATGTGGACTGAAGCCGAGACCGTAAAATGGAACAAGTTGATTTACATCCATTGTTCATTTTATCCTAAACAACTGGGATTCAGTAAATAATTTGGTGTAACGATGTGAACCATCCTGAGGCACTATAATATAATTAAAAGCTCATTTTGGAGATTAGTAAAGTTATTTCTTTCTTCTGCTTTTTCCAAGATAACATAAGCACACTTTTTTGAGTTATCATTGTGTTTTGTTGTCATTGAACGTCCCCAACTCCCCAACTGCAGAGAACAATTGCTGAAAAGTTAGAATCAGCCTTGGAGCTGCTTGTCGCTAACTCAACTTTACACTCTCAATTACACGGGAAATGGAATCAACTCAACCAAAGTCAACATGACTCCGTTGGAAATATTGCCCACAGGAGATAGCTCAACTATTGTTTTTATGTATCTTTTGCAAAAAAGAATCAAGTCAACGTAACCCCCTATGGAACAAAGAGCCCAGTCCAAGTTTATACAACTCCGTTTCCTATTTTAAGGGAAAGTGATAAATATCAGAAATCTTCTACGAAGTGGAACTGGTTATCATTTATAACGTTCATTCTTTGAGTTTTAGTTTTTGCTGCGAACAGTTTTTTGTTTCTCCTGAAATATGGTCAAAGTGGAGTTACCCCCTTCCTCTGCTTCCTGGATCAATTTTGTCACATTAGTTTCAACGTGTTGTCACGTTCCTGGAATGAAAGTGGTGTTGGGGCATAGTCTTTGATTAACCAGTGTACCCTTGAAAAGAGTTCCTTGGCAGCAGTTAGGCTCGACAGGAACAAAATCAACATTTTTTGTGGAGTCTCTCTCAACCGTTTCTTCCCCTGGTCTCAGATTTCTACTCCAATGGCTGCGGAGTGCTCCAACTGCGGTCAGAAGTTTGGCCCGCACTGCCAGCCGGCCGGGGTGCACAACTGCGGCCACACGCCGTGCCAGTCCTGCGTGGAGGCGGGGCCAGCCTCGGAGAGCCGCTGTGGCGTGTGCCGAAAGGTGAGGACTGAAGCTAGGCTGCCATTGGCTGTCTGCTTCTCGTAAAACATTTTACACTCTCAAGTCTCGTAGTGACTTTTTATCTCTTGCCAAAAAGTTTATTGTGCAACCGTACGTAATAAGTACTATTTTCTCTTAAGCTATGCACTATTTTGCTCATTGTATAATGTGCTATTTAGCCCATTAAACCTGACTTTTTGTCATTTGCAATGAACTTTTCAATTTCTACATGATCTATCGACACTTCATCTCCAAAACGATCAAAATTGTGCATAGCTAAAGAGATAATAGTGTATGTTACATTTGCTCAAAAACCATTACAAGCAAGAGAGAAAAATGTCCTCATAGGTCTGAGAGTGAAAAACATTTTACGTCTGTTCAAAAAACTTTGTAAGCGAGATAAAAAGTCAGTACAAGGGTGAGAGTGTATGTACCAGCCAGGTACACACCAAATTAAAAGGCGCACTCGCAGACTCGTACTGTGTTTTTGTCAGATAACGTATGACATTTGTGCACATTAATAAGCGTATTAACTTTCTTGTTTGTTTCAGAAACATGATTTTCAATTTTGTCTTGTCGAATCTGTTGAGCTTCTTATCGAAATTCTATTATTGTGCACAAACTTCATTGAGTATTGATAAAATGTCGATTGAAGGATGCGAGTGCGGGTTTTAACATTTGGACATCCGTCTCCTTTCGCAGAGGTCTAGGTCGAGCCAGATGGCCTGCAAGGAATTCGACGCCGGGTGCTCCAATCAAGGCGGCCATCATCGCCTCCACTGCGACGCGCTGCCCACCGATCAGTGCCTGGGCGAGCACAAGTCCTGCAAGGTACAGCGCTTGACCCGGGACTCTGCTCGGAGCGTCGCCGCCATGCACGACGGCGTGGCCGCAGAGCTGCAGCACGCCCAGGAGAGCCTCCAGGGACTGAGGTAGGCACGCACGAAAGCCTTGGCCAAGTCAACCAGAAGGTCGGTTGAGAAAAGAGAAGTCAAATTGCTTACAGTCTTAATACAGAAATAATGTTGCTTATGTTACATCAAGTTTGTTTAACTTGTCTTAAAAAAGTCATAAAAAATCACCCCTATGGACACACTCTAGTTTCTATTTAACAAGGTAGGTGTACGCCAGACCGTGTCTTGTCGTAACAGGCTTCGCGATGCTGCGCCAGTTTCGACAATCCACGCCTGGCGTTTGCACCTACCTTGGCCTGCGGCGCTAGCCTGCCTTCGGCAGGCCATGGCTAGCCCATCGTCGGTTACTTCTAAATTGTTGCATGCTGCGCCCCCCAGACCCCCCTTCATTCCAGATAGAGTTGCTTCATCTACAGATAACACGATCTTGACCGTCGTTACTTTTCAACTTGACGGGGCTGGGGGGCTCCGCCCCCCAGACCCCCCTGGGTCATTCCATGTGAAATCGACAAGGTTCAAATCGACCAGTGCTCCGATTTTGATGAAACTTGCAGCGATTGTTGGTCTTATGGTCCCATTGAAGTTGCCAAAATATTTTGGTCGAAATGTCAAAGGGGTCTGAGTAGTGCACGATTCAATTTTTTTCACTTTTTGTGAATGGGTATCCGTTTTTTGCTAATATCTCCGGAACTATTCGTCGTACGACAAAATGAGTACACCGTTGGAAAGAGGAGAAAAACTGAATAAATCAAAAAAAAATTATTTTTTTGGAGAAAAAAAATTTTCTTTTATACTAAACTCAAACTTTCAAAGTTATGTTTGAAACTGTTCCCCTTCATCAAATTGACATGCTATGGCTCAAAAAGTAGCTTTACCCTTCCCCTAAACGAAATGTCAATCATACAAAGTACTTTTTTTCGTTTGGGAGAACGAGCGATTTCCGTGGACCTCTGCACTGGATCCGGGCCTACCCTCTGCCTGAACGGTGCACAACGGCCCGGCGCTGTGGCACCGCGGTGTCCTGCCACCCACCCCCATCCCTTTCCGCAGTTCCCAGAGCAGAAGTAGGGGCGCCTGGAGGGTAGGCCGCACCCCGCACGCCGCCCCGGGCTCCCACGGTCACCGCCCAGCAGGTAGGCAACTCATCCTACGTTACTACCCCTCTTCCCCTGTCCCCTCCCCCTACTCTCCATCTCCTTCTTGACCTTCAAATTTTCAGTATGGCCCTAGGCGAGAGTTTGTGTTGCACATTGTCAAATGTTTGTTACCAGACTGAGATTTCTTTCAATTGTTAGGAAATTTAAATCGAACACAACTTTAAAATGCTGGGTGTTTATTCAAAGTTGTTTTTATACATAAAAATTATCTGACCTTCCTCTGAACCTTTAAGTAGTATAACTGTAGCTGCAAGTTATACCTTGCTTCAAAACATATTTTTTTCTTAGATTTTAATTTTACATCTGCTGCCTTAGCATCACTTACTCGAAGTTTCACATTGTCCCTTTGGCTTGAAAGTACGGATTAACTAGACTTACAATGTCATGTAGACTAACAATTATAACAATATCAGTAAACTTGTAACTTCTTGGTTGTCCAGTAGCTTCCATAACTTGAACCGAAAAGTTTTCATCCTCTTCATGGAATTCAGATACGCAGCCTAGCTTCCAGGAATTTTCGTCTTCTGTAAATGTTACAATCCTTTTACCTCACTATAGTCTAGTTCAATTCTTTGGTACATATCTTCTTAATATTAATTTTGTATCTTGTGAATACAACTTAAGTAAGATATCCTTTGATGGCACTCTAGGAATTAAAGCATGGTGGGATTTGATTCCATCAATGTCAAAAGCTGTCTCAAATCTCACAAGTAAAGCCTTTTCATTTTCAATAACTTCTTCTTTCGGAACCCATTTAGCAGTCACTCCTTGAATGTTTTTAGACACCAATCATAGAAATCATATGCAATTGTTATTTGTGGGTCTTTTGCTGTTAAGCGTAGGCAATGCAACATTGTAGTATGTTTGATCATGCCGCCCACACCATCACAGGCAGTTTTTCCATGGCTCGTAGCATAAAAGTGCCATTCTGCAGGTACTCCAAAATCCCTTTCATGAAACCATACATTGGCGGCAGCTTTTTTATTTTTGTACTGAGCAGCACAACCGTCTGAAAAGTATTTGATTTTAGCCAGCTTTATCTTGAGGTCCTCAGTTATATGACGGATCAATTTTTTCTGAAATGTATGCACTGCAGCAGTACTATGATCCAAGTGATCTGATATCAAAACAAATGCTGAGTGGCATACTTTGCCCTCTGCATCTTTATAATAAATCAAACAGGGATGCAATGTCGCCTGTTTATTATTAAAGTACCACCCCTGGGAGCTATTTTGTACAACAAAAGAGAAATTTTCTGCAAAGTCAACATTAACAACACTTCACCATCTTTTAATTTTCAATTGATTCCTTATAGAAATTTGCTTGCACTTTGCTAATAAAATCATGGGGTATGAGACTTTCAATCTGCGATATAAACTCAGAAATAAAATCATCAGTAGATTTACTTAAGTTACAATATTTGCCCGGTCTGTGGACTCCCACTGGTTGTAAACCCAGTGGAAATCATTTCTGAGTCAAAATAAACTTCCAATTTTTCCTGTAAAACAGTGGAATCACAACATCATTACATCTTCGAAAAAAACAGTCTTCACTAGGCTCTGAGCATAAAGCAACTTTTTGCACGCTTTTATATTTTCTAATCCAGCTTCACTTAGATTTCCCGCTTCAACATAAGTTCTGGATTCTGATGATAGGTGCACACACAAATCACATGAGTCCCGGCACTACCAGCTAATACACACTCTTTTGGTCTCAGTTCACAAAATTTAGCTAAAGAGACTTTGTGATCAGGGTGTTCTTCTTTAAACTTTTGATGCAAGCAACTGAGAGTAGACAGCACTAGTCTTTTAGTTTTCTTCACTCTCTTCCCGTCCACTAAAACACTCAGTACATCTTTGGCTCCAGGGAGAGGCCGACTTATGTCGTCCCTGTAGTAGAATTTGGTGATCAGCTCCACTGTCTCAGGTGAAAGTTTGCGTCCCACTTTAGGACCCGGGCCACACAGAATACCCTTGTCTTGCACTAGTAGACGGCTTTTCCTCGCCATGTAGTTGGATACCCCAAATGTGCTTTCAATCCTGGAAATGCTCCAACTTTTTGGTACAACTGATAAAGCTAATAATTTTTTATCGGGCTGGGGATGACAATCAATAAATTGCTGTAGTTGGCCTATTATTTCTCTGAAGTATGCTGCATCTTCGTCCTCAGTTAGTTGTTGATCAGAAAATTTTGTCAGCGCTGCTCTTATTTTCTTCATAACTTTACGCCCATAGCTCTTCTGAGTCTTTAATTTCCTTTCATTAACAGGAGAGAATCCAAGAGAGGACAGCCAAGTATTTAATCCATCAATACTCTCCTGAAAAAACTCTTCTTTAGAAGCCTTATTATCAGCAGGTACAGTGGGAGTTGTAATATCACTGGGGGCCAAAGTAGACCCTACACTAGGTGACGAAAATATAGGAGGGTTGGAAATTGAAGCCGGGTCAGGAGCGTTGCTTGAAGATTCTTGAGCAGCCTTTTCTGCGGCAGATTTTTCAGCAGCTTTGATTTTAGCGTTCAGGTCAATCTTGCACTTGACACACACTTTCTTGCCGGGCACCAAAGCAAGTCCAATAGTTTTGGCACTGTCCCGCATTTGGAGTGTAATAACATGCAATTGAGGAGTGCCAGTTTTTTTCTTTTTGGCTGGAGGGCCATCATGAACAGATGTTGACTGATGAAGACAGCAGTTTTTCTCTGGTGTGCTTCAAAGCGGTGAATGAACTTAGTGAAATGTCCATCACAAACATACTGCAAACTCTTTCTGCAGCCACTTCTGATCTTGAGCAAACGAATCCTTTCTGGAGATAGGCTGGCTCTTGCAGTGAAATCCCCAGAGCAGCACCAACATCAGGAAGATGTTGTACCTTTCTCAGGAAACACTTCTTGGTGTCTGCTCGGCCCATTGTGCAGGGGGAACCTGACCACAAAGAAACCAAACCTCAAAATAAAACAAGAAGCGTCATCAAACCAAAGCACAATCCTATAATATCAGATTTTTTAAAAAAGAGAAAGAACTCGTACACAAGAAAACGGACCTTTTCAGGGCATAAAATCGACTCAAAGTCAATGCTCAAAAATATTTACTCCAACAAGTAGTCGGTGCAGAAAGTAAACAAACCAAGACAAACGAACAACACAAGTTCGTCTTGTCGCCACAGCCCAAACACTGGCAGCACCGTCGGGGGAATGCCGTTTTCGCATCAACTTCGGCTGCACTTCGGCTGCGCCACGAAGCAAGGCTCGGGGTGAATAGGAAGGGTTGCCTACCTGCTGGGCGGTGACCGTGGGACCCGGGGCGGCGTGCGGGTGGCGGCCTACCCTCCAGGCGCCCCTACTTCTGCTCTGGGAACTGCGGAAAGGGATGGGGGTGGGTGGCAGGACACCGCGGTGCCACAGCGCCGGGCCGTTGTGCACCGTTCAGGCAGAGGGTAGGCCCGGATCCAGTGCAGAGGTCCACGGAATCGCTCGTTTCTCCCAAACGAAAAAAGTACTTTGTATGATTGACATTTTCGTTTAGGGGAAGGGTAAAGCTACTTTTTGAGCCATAGCATGTCAATTTTGATGAGGGGAACAGTTTTCAAACATAACTTTGAAAGTTTGAGTTTAGTATAAAAGAAATTTTTTTTCTCCAAAAAAAATAATTTTTTTTTGATTTTATTCAGTTTTTTCTCCTCTTTCCAACGGTGTACTCATTTTTGTCGTACGACGAATAGTTCCGGAGATATTAGCAAAAACGGATACCCATTCACAAAAAGTGAAAAAAATTGAATCGTGCACTACTCAGACCCCTTTGACATTTCGACCAAAATATTTTGGCAACTTCAATGGGACCATAAGACCAACAATCGCTGCAAGTTTCATCAAAATCGGAGCACTGGTCGATTTGAACCTTGTCGATTTCACATGGAATGACCCCCCTTTCTTCAAGGCAGAAGGCATTTGCCTGCAGAAAACACTATTTTTCGCCGTTTTTTTAGGTGTTTTTCGGCTATAAAAACTGAACTAGTTGAGCTAGGATGGTGAATTTGCGCGTGTGCCGAGCCAAGGACTCCCAAAAAGTGTGCAAAATCTCAGCCATCGGCCGAGCCGTTCAGGAGGAGTAGTGCTGACAGACAAACACACAACAGACAGACAGACAGACAAAACTTTTCAACCCCATCTGAGTAACGGGCTTCGCTATCGCTCAGCCAATCATGGTGCCTCTGGACGGTTTACGTCAAATTAATTCACTGCGCTCCCAGCAGTTTAGGAGAAAATCCACACGGAAAGAGGATATAACCCATCTTGTTCCTCATTACGGTGTAAACTTCATCGTAAAACTCAACATTCCGCTTCCACTCTAAATTTAGTATTAAATAGAAACAACTAAACCCAAGTCAACATGGCTCCAGTGAAAATATTGTCAATAGTAGATAACTCATCTTACATCTTTATGAATGTAATGTGTAAAGAATCAGGGCAACTTAAGAATCCTTCATTTTAACGACTTGAATTGAAGACCGTAAAACCACACCTGAGTACCTAACACTTTATGCTGACAATAGTTCCTCTTGACTTGTCTCCAAATTCCACTTCATTCAGGAAATATAAGCTTAATCTAGCTTCCTCTGGCCTGCTGCTAACATCGGCGACCCGTGGCGCTACCTCACGGACATTATGCGAACTACCGATATGGCGGGAGATTTTGAACTTGGAACATATCAAACAAGGTTTGGGAAGTGAATTTTGATCCGTATGACCTAAATTTCAATGAAGATGCTTCCCATGATTAAATATTGTGGCCTAAGTTGATCCCAGGCACATGATTGACTGCTTTTTGGTGTTCCCAAGAGCTCGGGTTGGGGTGGTCCCGACTAAAGCTTTTCTCGCATCTTTTTATTTTAGACCTAATGTTTTTCTTGAATTATTGATTGACTATTTTTGTGTTTGTGATCACTGATCATGTTAACCTAAGTTTCATTTGAACTTCAATGTTACTTCTTCTTGAACAATTGAGTGAACTTATTTATGCAGCTCCTTTTTTCTTTGACTTTTGTACGCAAATGAAGTGAAAATTAATGTTCCTCACCTTTGTTTAAAATTTGTATTAATTAAATCTTAGTATATACTAACAATTTGTTCACTTGCTTGCCCTTATTATCACAGTTAAGAGAGAATTATGGCTGTAGTGTCGATTTCTTTATAAACTGTGAGAAGGACGAGCAAGTGAACGATTGGTTAGTATATATTAAGATTAATTATACAAATTTTAAACAAAGGTGAGGAACATCATTTTTCACTTCATTTGCGTATAAAAAGTCAAAGAAAAAAGGAGCTGCATAAATAAGTTTTCACTCAATTGTTCAAGAAGAAGTAACATTGAAGTTCTAATGAAACATTAGGTTAACATGATCAGTGATCACAAACACAAAAATAGTCAATCAATAATTCAAGAAAAAATTAGGTCTAAAATAAAAGATGTCGAGAAAGCTTATAGTCGGACCACCCCAACCCGAGCTCTTGGGACACCAAAAGCAGTCAATCATGTGCCTGGATCAACTTTAGGCCACAATATTTAATCATGGGAAGCATCTTCATTGAATTTAGGTCATACGGATCAAATTCACTTCCCAAACCTTGTTTGATATTTTCCAAGTTCAAAATCTCCCGCCATATCAGTAGTTCGCATTATGTCCGTGCCGCAGCGCTGTATGTTGTCCCCTGAATGTAGGCAATTTCAAGGAGCCGAGGCACCAAGAATTGAACCTGTTACCGTGTATAACATTCATTTGTTTAGTTTGAGTTGTCCCGTAAACAGTTTCATTTTGATTCTCCCGACAAATGGCCAAAATGGAGTTCCCCCCCTCTTCCGCTTCCTGGATATGTATTACTTATCCTTCCACTGTGTACCTTGACTCCGCTTTTCCTCAGGACAAGGGGAAATAACCCCAGCAAAATTTTTACACCAAAATTCATCAGATATGAAAGATTCACTGAAATTCATTGAAATTTATCAAAATTTGACTAATTCATCTAATTTTGACTAAAATTAATCAAATTTCGACTGAAATTCGTCGAATTTCGTCTGAAATTCATCGAATTTTGACTGAAGTTCATCAAATTTCGACTGAAATTCATCGAATTGCGAGATTTGTACACCTAAATTCACAGTGATTTCCCCTTGCCTCAGGACGTGGGCCAGAGCCGCTGAGGGCCGCCAGGACTCCGCCGCACTCCGTGCGCACGCGACCAGCTTGGGCCGCATCCGAGGCGTGCTGCAGCAGGCGCTCCAGGACTTCGTGGAGGAGGCGCGCCGCTGCCAGGCAGAGGAAACCACGAGCTCGGACGAGGTAAGGAGAGGGCAGCGACGAGCACGAGACGCGTGCTCCATCCTGACATGCCAGCAGGAATATTGTTGAGGATTTTGTAACTATGTTCCAGATCGGGACTTCGCTGGAGTCTGGCCCTCCTATGGACCCGAGGCCCCTTCCACAGTCTAGCACTCCGCTGGAGTCTAGAAATCCCCTGGAGTCTGGCACTTCTATGGAGTCTGGTACTCCAGTGGAATCTGGCACTCCTGTGGAGTCTGGCACTGCTGTGGAGTCTGGCACTGCTGTGGAGTCTGGCACTCCTGTGGAGTCTGGCACTCTTATGGAGTCAGGCTTTCCTCTGGAGTCGCTGCCCCTCGAACTGCTGCTGGCGGTGCTGGCCTACGTGCCGACGGACCAATTGCTGCCCCTGCGGCTGCTGAGCCGTTACTGGAGAACGCTGATCCTGGAGGAGCCACTGTGGCGCCGCCGCCGCCTTGAGGTTCCCTTCGAACCTGGCTCCGGACGGCCGGCCATAGCAGCCATCCTGCGCTTGGCCCCGGCGCTGGACACTCTGAACCTGCGACTTTGGTATTCGTCTCACGGGCGTCTTTATCTTAAGGCTCTCGCCGAGGGCAAGTGCAAGGTACGTTCCAGTTTCGTCATCAGCACTCCTGAATACAAAGGGACTTACGTAAAACTTGGTATAAAAACAGAAGCCACTAAAAATGCTAACCTTTTTTTGCCGTTCTATAGCACTGAGATTTCAAACGCTAAGAGTATACCACGTATGGTGCAATGCGCTGAGATATCGCACCATACGTGCAATGCCATATTCCACCTTAGGTGCAATGCTTCCCGAAAATGCCCTATGCTTATGCATGGGAATTGGGAGGCATTGCACTTCATGTGCAATGCTTTTGAATTGCACCAATCGCTGCTATACTCATAGCGTTTGGGTTCTCAGTACTCATAGCGTTTGGGTTCTCAGTGAAGTCGTTTTTGGTCGTTATGACCGAATGGATTCATGTAGAAAGCTGAATTTTGGTGTGTAGTGAGCCTAGGACATACCTAATGACCCTGCCAAATCTCAACCGAATCGGCCGAGCCGTTCAGGAAAATTATAGTCCAGACAGACAGACACACACAGGCAGACAGAACTTTTTAATCCTACCTGGGTAACGGGCTTTGCTATCGCTCAGCCAAAAAGACGTAGATTTCCGTGGTTTTGAGTTACGGAGGCAGGCTGTGAGAAAATAAAAAGGACATTCCGTAGCTTTGTGCAAGTTTTCGTTATATGACCTCGGAGTCTTCTGTAATTTTGTTTTCCTTATCCTGTGTTTTTTTGACAGGTCCGCTTCCTGGATCTCAGCTTTACAGCTTACACGGTGTCGAACAAGTTGATCTCTGCAGTGTTCTCTAGTCATAGGACCACATTACAGAAGCTCCATATGAACCTACGTAGCTTACAGTCTAACAGTAACCTAGTGCCAGCATTGAAGGCCATTGACGCTTTGGAAGAGCTGAAAACGCTGCGTCTCAATACTAACTCGGGTCAAAGTCACGGTTTTGCCTTCAAAGGTCTTCGCCTGACGACTCTAGACATACCGGTGGGTCTGAAGATACAATTTGCTCGGGACCTTATCCGCCTGGGAAGAAACACTCTGACCACGGTCAAATGCGCTGCAGGAATGAACGAGCTGAAGACAGATTTGGCGCAGTGCGAAAAGCTCACCCACCTTGAAGCCACCATGTTGTTGGACGGGCTTGCTGAACTTGTCCCACAACTATCTCACCTGCAGTGCATAACAATACACGAGTCTCGTGATCTCTTTCAGTCTAAGGTGGATTGGTTCAAGTGGGCGAACAAAAACTTTTCCGGGAAGATCCATCTTGTTGTATCGAATTCTTCGGTCGATTGGAATAACTTCACTTCGTCGGCGGACTGCCTACGCAACGTCCACAGAGTGACGATTGAGCTCACGTCTAACGAGGCAAACCCACCTGGGCCCGTCGCAGAGCTCCTGCGGTCTTTATCGTCGGTAGAGCACCTCGTGTTGAACTTCAAGACGGACTTCCAGAGCGTGCTTGAGAGCTGGCCAGCATCAACGGTGCCTCGCCTGCAGTACCTCTCCATCTCAGCAAAAGACCAAGAAGACTCACGTGGCTTTCGGTCATCCATGACACAGGTTTTCAGAGCCTGGCGTCCTAGTCTCAATTTAAAGTTTCTGTAACTGCTTTGATCTCGAAACACAAAATTGTCTCCACTTGTTTCCATACGGTTTATTAATTAAATGAAACCAATTTTTGAAAAAGTTTATTTTATGCACTCGTCAGTCCTTACCGATACGGGTGCATTCCATGACAGAATAACAGGCCTTGAGACAAAGGTTGTCAGAATCGGCCCAAATTTTTTTTTGTGACACTTCCTTACCAGTAGACACTAAAAACAAATTTTTAGATTTTTAGAAATTTTTTTGTAGTTTTGGTCAACCATTTTAACCAAATTTTTACGACAAAAAATAAAAAAATGCAGATATCAAAAAAGACGTCATTATGGATTTGGCTGAAAATTTTTTTGTTGCTTCCCCTATTAGTGTACTAAGAGCCAGCAATCCCCCATTGAGGTCCCCATGTACAGGAATGGTGAAAAAAAATCAGGAACGTTGAAATTTGGTTTTTTTTTTCACTGTTTTGGGCTAAATTGACACTCTGAGGGTTCCGTCTCTTGTTTGACCTTAACGCTTGGGTCCCTTAATTGTTAGTACGCAGAAAAATAATGTTTTGAAACAGCATAAGTCATAAAAATAATTAGCAACAAATTCGTCGTTTTAAAACAAGCAAACTTGTTCACAAACAACGGCGTTGTCGAGGTTGGTAATTGTGTTGTTGTCTTAAAACAACAATTTTTAACAGTGTGCGTACTTAAATAGTCTGTCACATTTCCGTACGAAGGAATGGAATTTTTTGCAGTGTTTTGACTCATAGCTCTCACTGCAATTATCGCACATGCATGAAAACTAGCTCATTGGGAAGCTAGCAGCGTTGCCTACAATCGGCTCGCTTACACTACGGATCTATCTTGCATGACAAAGAAGTTATGGGCGAAATTGGCAGACTCCTCCCTCAGGGCTCCCCTGCCTGAATCGTGGCGCGTGTATCCCGGTGCTGCCCTCTACCCTGAGCTTGCCGTGTCGCCTTTCTCATTCCAAGACCATCTGTTTATACCCAAGTTATACTTGTACTAAGGGACTATCTTCCGCTGGGCTGTCATTTAGCCATACCATCTTGGGAGACGAACAGGGTTCAGCCGAGTGAGATGGTAGAGCAAAAATGTTCAAGTAACTAGAAGAAAAGAGTTTGACGAGATTCTTTATTTCCAAATTGAAAAGGGAGGAGAAAAATGAGTTTGAGAGGACTGAAGGTAGGAGCTTACACCTTTTCTCATGCACCACTCTTTCTTCCTGCCCCGGAGACAATCAAAGCCAACTCGCCTTCGGTGCGCCCGCTGCGGCCTGCGGCACGGGCCGTGGTGGACCTTTTCTCACCCACAGGTGAAAATGCGGCGCTGACATGTCCGGACGACACTGTTCAGAACTTCTCATTGTCCATCATCCAATATTTGCACCCTGTGCACTATGTGGGCTGTTCTTGGTGCCTGTCGAAAGTCAGTGAGAAATTAAGGCAACCCGCAACTTTGAAAGCTAAGTCATAACAAGAAGTAAAGAAAGCTAAAAACACAAAGTGCTGTATAATATCAATCAATTGATATTAAGATGAAAGGACTCGTTCTTTACTATTATGCAAATGAAAAGTGGATTGTAAATGATCTACATCACCTCGCTTATCCTGCCCCTGTTCAATGTGTTGAGAGAGGCTCTGCCGCTCTACATTGTGTTTTGAATTCCGCGCCCCCGCTTCGGCACCCCCGGAGGTGGCGCGCGGAGCGGCCTGCCGAAGTCCAGCCGAAGCTCATTCAACACGATCTTTAACCTGATATTTCTCCGAATTTATCATTGTGCGTGATAAAAAACATTCCAGGTTTTATATTAACTGAATGTAGGAGTTCATGTTCGTAATGGTTAATTTAAGGGTACCATTATTGGTGAAAAGATATAAGAGGTTGAAATGAGGTTAGTTTCGACACCGGCCCCAAAATCTCGTTTTTTACATGTTCGTTTTCTCAAAATTTTCCATTGAAAGTCGAAAAACAATCCGTTTACGATTTACTGACGGACTTTTGCACTTTAAAATGATACCATTGTCTTCTCTGTACATGTTGTAAGTTCTGAGATGAATGATATCCTCTGAAAAAAATTTTTTGAGCACAATACTCGTTCTCTTTACTATACCACTTTTCATTTGTTTGTGTGTAAAGAACGAGTAAAAAACAAAGTTTGCGACAAAACCACTTAACAATAAATGTGTCACCAAGTTACGACAACATTTTTGTCATTGTGGACACTTAATGTTTTTGTACAAATTTTTTACAAGACATCACTGTTTTTAGTGCACACGAACTTTTCGTACAAATTTGCACAACATTTTGTACAATTTTGTCCAAAAACAAGCGAAAAATGTGTCGGTTTTCGTACGAAGATTTCGTGGGCACAAAAGACTGTGATGTCTCGTACAAATTGTACATAACATTTGGCGTAGACCTACCTGCAGCAGGCGTCCGCTGGCGGCCAGGGCGGCGATCATGGTCAGCAGCAGCGGGTCGTCCTCGCCGTCCTTGCGCAAGGTCAGCGTGCAGGTGTCCCCCGGCACGCCGCGGAGCACATGCAGAGCTGCCAGGGCGCTGTCATCCTGGACGCCGTCCAGGAGGCCGCCGAGCAGCTGCTTGACGCGCGGCACCGCGTCCTGGAGGCACTGCCGCAGCACCCCCTTGGAGTTCCGCACGTCGTGCTGGTCGAAGCAGAGCGTGGACGGCGCCCAGCAGTCCACGCACCACGGCGAAGACCTGCAGCCATCACTGAGATTAAATATGTTGCGATCAATATACCAAATTTTGAACGAGGTATACTTTATCACTGAGAATCTTACTTAAGGGGGAACCCTGGTGAAACTTTCAAGTAGGCTTTAAAATGATCCCAGAAAGTTGAAACTTTGCCTAATTATTAGGTTCATTACGGTGAGTTCCCAAAACAAAATTCAATCCAAAATGTTGAACGGTCTCTGAGAAAAGTGGCTTTATAGTGTTTTTTAGAGCGTTGGGGAAAAATCTTCCTGCGTCTTTCATTGAAACGGAAAGTCTTAAAAATTTTTTTGGGTTATCCTAAAAATGTATAGAAGAGATTTTAGTGATGGAATTTTCAATTTTAACTTCTGTCCTGAGATATGGATTTTCAAATTTTAACATTTTAAAAAATTAATATTTTGCCTTTTTTTCAAACTTTAAGGTGTTTGTAAAAAAAGGAGGGCTGATATCAAGATTCTGTCACTAAAATTTGTCGACAAGTCATCAATGAATAGAGTCCATGCAAGACGACTCATGTAAGTGTCGACCAGGAACGCAGAAAGTCTTTCTATGACAAAATTTTTTGTCGACTGAGCAAAGCTGTGAAGTTGAGCGAATAAGCCAACGACAACTGATATCAACGTTATTTCTTTCTAAATGATGAAGGAACTACCCACATAGTTTAAAGGTGTTCAACCTGTTGAATCTGAAACCTTCTACGCACATTTTTATGTATGAACTTTGAAAAAAAACTATTTTTGGCAGTTTTGACCATTTTTTCACCAGGGCCCCTCCTTAAACGCAAATGATTCTCGCCAAGTTTGATCATTTGGGAAGAATAACAGAGTAAGCGGAAAATATCCAGATGGATATCACAGCGACTCCACGCGACCTACCTGACTGCGGGTTCCGGAAAAACCGAATAACCGCTTTTCAATTTCTCATCCTTCGTTTCGAAGTTCTCCTCCACGTCCATCTGGGTGACGATGTCGCAATGTTGGTCCTCCTTAACTGACGTACCGGGTAGGTTTTTCAGCTGAGAAGGATCTAATGGAGACGCTTCAGAGTCGTCTCCAACAGGCTCTTCTTTCTTCACAGAGGAAAACGCCATTGGCTCGGGAAAGCTGAAACAGAACGTTCAAAAGACTGCAAAGACCGCAAGGGGTGACTTCACTAGAGTGAACACATTGGCGAAGACGGAATCGCAATTGTCTCCAGATAAATGTTTTCTCGCAGTGACCGACCGGAAAAGCCAGTCCAAACGCACCTAGCGGCATTCCCCTGGTGGGCCTCGATGACGTCGAGGGCGAAGAAGTTGTCCGGAAGCTCCTCCGCAGGCCGGCCCCATTCCTGCAACACAACGCGTTCACACGACACGTTCCGCTTCACTGCGCCAGCAACTCGGTTCGACAGGGGGCAGGCCCAGCTTGGCCTCCCGGCCGCCTTTCCTCTCACACAAAACCTATGTGTGTACTACACTCCCCGAGACGCGTGCTTACTAGCACTTCGAGGTCCGAGGCGTCTATGAAGTGTGTACTTCTAGATACTGATCGGGCCACCTGCCGAAGGCTCGTAGACCTCCCTCCGACCAGTCGTTGAAAAGGAGCCAGGTTGGCTCCAGGAGGAGTTTCACTCGCAGGCATGCTTACTTCAACATGGAGCATGCTTTGTATGCGTACACACTTGACATTGTAGAGCAGAGGCGGATCCGCAGGAGACGGGTTCAGGGCAAGCGAACTCGCACAACACTGGTAAAACTAAAGCGTAACACTATGCTTGAGTCAAGCGCAGTTACGCTTGAAGACGTTACGCTTGAAGACGTTACGCTTGAAATCAAGCATACTCTAGAAATTTCCCCGTGAATTTAGATATGGGGAATCTTGGCGGATGAGCCTGTTACGCTTGATTTCAAGCGTAGACTGATAACGCTTGAAAACAGAGGGTAATGCTGCGCTTTAGTTTTACCAGTGAAGCTGCCCACTTCAACGCGCGAAGAGCGACTTTCTGACGTGAAGGCCTGGCGAACTCACCCCTTGCTGCCGCACGCGTGCCAGCGTCGCTGCCTTTTCTTCCTGCCTTTGGCCCAGCCGAGAGTCACAGAGCTCACGCAAGTTCAGCTCCTGGATGCGCTGATCTGGAGGCACCGTCACCTGCTCCACGGTTGCTGGGAGCAGCTCGTGCCGGGCTGTTCTTGGTGCCTGTCGAAAGTCAGTGAGAAATTAAGGCAACCCGCAACTATGAAAGCAGGTGAAAACAGGAGGTGTCAATCATTTCGGCAAATTTGTTTTTACTTTTTCTTGTTAAACGTAGATATCATCCGCAATTTGCAAGCTGCTGCTCGCTTAAACGGTTCAGATTTCTGATTTAGACGCATCTAACTTTTAGTCGATGACTTTGAACGCTTCTGAATCAATATAATTGGCATACATTACAAAAAGGGGCTCGTAGAGCCTCCTTCAGACCACCCGTTGGAAAGGTCTTGGCGAGACCTATCGAAAACCGCAATAAAATTTTTCGTCGGTCGACCCCATTTTTTGCCCTAGATCCAACGCACTCCTACTCCTACAGTGCCTTCCAAATTTGGGAGCTCTAGCTCAACTCTCTCCTTGTGCACAGACGACAACAACGATGACGACACACAGACAGAAAGGCAAATGCATAGGCCCTCCCCCTATTTTTTGAATGAAAGGGCGGGCCAAAAAAACACAAACACACACACTGCACTCTTAAAACCTTGCGAACCAACGTGTTTGTAAGCTTGCGAAGAGTCTCACTTGTTTGCAACGCGAAGGACGCATCCGTATTGCAAATCAGTAGTTCGCATCTTGCGAACAAGTGCTTCGCAATTTGCGAACAACCTGTTTGTATTGCGAACTACTAGTACGTAATACAATCAAGCCAAACTCTTCGCAAGTTGCAAACCAAATGGTTTGTAATGCGAATACATTCTTCGCAAGGTTTAAAGAGTGTGTGACGAAAAGCTACGAAAATTCTGCAAACAGCTTGTGGAAATTCTCTGTACCGCCCTTGTCAATGTTCTCCGTAGGACCATACAGTATTCCCGTAAGTCCGGACAGTATTCTCCGTAGGACCTTACAGTGACCTCCGTAGGACTACAGTCTTCCAGGTCCTACGGAGAAGACTGTAAGAGCCTTTGGAGAATATTGTTAAAAGGGCTACGGAGAATCTTGGCAAAAAAATTTACAGAATTTTCCGTATCTTTATGCCAGTCACAGTGCCACAGCGTGTTAGTCAACTGCCACGGCAAGGGTGGGGGCGTGCGTGCATTGCATACGTACATCAGTGGGGTGGGGTGATTGGATGGCCATTGTAACAGCAGGCGCCATCGCCTCGTCGGGAGGGCCCACAGCAGGCGCCACCGCCTCGTCGAGAGGGCCCACAGCAGGCGCTATCACCATCGCCTCGTCGAGAGGGCCCACGCAGGCGCCATCGCCTCGTCGAGAGGGCCCACAGCAGGCGCCATCGCCTCGTCGAGAGGGCCACGCAGGCGCATCGCCTCGTCGACGAGGGCCCACAGCAGTGCGCACCATCGCCTGTCGAGAGGGCCCACAGCAGGCGCCATCGCCTCGTCGAGAGGGCCCACAGCAGGCGCCATCGCCTCGTCGAGAGGGCCCACAGCAGGCGCCATCGCCTCGTCGAGAGGGCCCACAGCAGGCGCCATCGCCATCGCCTCGTCGAGAGGGTCCACAGCAGGCGCCATCGCCTCGTCGAGAGGGCCCACAGCAGGCGCCATCGCCATCGCCTCGTCGAGAGGGTCCACAGCAGGCGCCATCGCCTCGTCGAGAGGGTCCGTGGTCGGCACCCTCGAAGTGGCGTCGTCAGGGCCAGCAGCCACGGCCGCCTCCACCACGACGCGGGCGCTCTCGCGCAGCTCCGCCTCGTACCGGTGTCCACGGACCACGGACACCGCCCGACCGGGGGCCCAGGACGACACCACGCGGCTACAAAGCCAGGCCTAAATCAAACATTCAAACATGATTTCAAAAATGCCAGGATTCCTGGTACGTTTTTCCACCCCTCCTCCACTCTTTTTCCCTCCCCCCCCCCCTCCAGTGCCCCCGTGTACTCTACAAACCAGACTGTGTCTAATAAGTACACTCTGCAGTGTACATTGTAACACAATCCAGGAACCAGACCAGCGTATGTTGCTCATGCACTGCTGGCTTACCTCGTCTTCCGGTCGCACCATCAGTCGCACTGCAGAGAGGATGTAGTCCTTCAAACGGAGGTGCTCGTCCAAGCCGCGCAGCTGGTCAGGCACACCATGCAGGTGTAGGCAGTGCACGCGCTGGCGCCTTCTGCCGACGAAGCCGCTCTTCAGCAGCCTTGACAAAGTGGCTGTCGGGCTGCTCGCCTGGTAGCCGGGCGCCGCAACGCTTAGAGCCTCTCCGGACAAGCGAATGACCTGAAAATAACACAAACACACAGGGCGCGCGTTCAGTCAACTGCCACGGAAAGGGAGTGCGTGCATTACATACGTACGTCAGTGAGGCGGGCTGGTTGGATGGCCATTACCACAGCGAGCACCATCGCCTCGTCGAGCGGGTACGTGGTCGGCACCCTCGAAGTGGCGCCGTCAGGGCCAGCAGCCACGGCCGCCTCCACCACGACGCTGGCCTGGTCGCGGAGCTCCGCCTCGTACCGGTGGCCACGGACCACGAACACCGCCATGCCGGCGACCCTGGTCTTCACCACTGAGCGTAGTGTCTTGATCGACAGCGGCACCGCGTCCAGGTACACGACGCTGGAGAGGCAAAAGGCTAAATTAACGAATTCATTTTTTTTTACCGTGAATAACTGGGGCACGAAAACGAACGAAGGTAACTCACGATTGGGACCGGCGAGTCCTGAGCTGTAGTGTGCTCCTAAAAGCGATGGCCGCCTTGTGGACGCGGCGTGCACCCTCCTTGATGGCAGGCAGAAACAACGGCACCGCGGCCGCGGCCTCCAGCACCAACACCAGGTGCCCTTTGGCGAGGTGGCGGGACACGGTTTCTGCAACCACGGGGGACAGCAGGGCGGGCGGCGCTGCCTCGGCTAGCTGCTGGCCGTGCTGCTGGCCTTGCTCCTGGCCGTGCTCCTGGCCGTGCTGCTGGCCGTGCTGCTGACCGTGCTGCTGGCCTTGCTCCTGCCCCTCCTGGCCGTGCTGCTGGCCGTGCTGCTGGCCTTGCTCCTGCCCCTCCTGGCCGTGCTGCTGGCCGTGCTGCTGACCGTGCTGCTGGCCTTGCTCCTGGCCCTCCTGGCTGTGCTGCTGGCCGTGCTGCTGGCCGTGCTGCTGGCCTTGCTCCTGGCCCTCCTGGCCGTGCTGCTGGCCGTGCTGCTGACCGTGCTCCTGCCCCTCCTGGCCGTGCTGCTGGCCGTGCTGCTGGCCTTGCTCCTGGCCCTCCTGGCTGTGCTGCTGGCCGTGCTGCTGGCCGTGCTGCTGGCCTTGCTCCTGGCCCTCCTGGCTGTGCTGCTGGCCGTGCTGCTGGCCGTGCTGCTGGCCGTGCTGCTGGCCGTGCTGCTGGCCGTGCTGCTGGCCGTGCTGCGCCTTTCTCCTGGCCCTCCTGGCTGTGCTGCTGGCCGTGCTGCTGGCCTTGCTCCTGTTCCTCCTGGCCGTGCTGCTGGCCTTGCTCTTGGCCTTGCTCCTGGCCATGCTCCTCGACGGGCTGCAGACCCTCCATGGCGGGAATGACCTACGAACAAACAAACGAGTCT